AACTTTTCTACTCACTGGTAATGACAGAAGTCACTGGATCAACACATTCTGTCATTAACCCGAGAAACAAGCAACAGAAAATACATGAAAATTCCCCGTCTCATGATCTTATCAAATGTGCAGTGTCAGACAAATAATTTTCTGGGAACAAGAAAATGTTTGAAAAGGGGAGGATTTTTCAAGGCAGCGCATGGATCATACCTGAAAGAATCTGGCTTTTCTCAGTGGTGAAGGCTCAGGAGGTGGCTTCACACTAGTGTGATTTTCTCCATGTGATGCTTCCTTAGACATTTGTAAAATCCGTTTGCAATTTCTGAATTTTGTTGCCGTATGATTACCATCAAATCACAAACCCATAACAAACAGAAAAGGCCACCATAAATTTAGTTTTATAATGTAATCACTCATTCCAACTGATAGTGCCATCATATTCTTGAATATTTCTACATAGCAACATTTTTTGAAAAAGGAAATGAAAAACACATCATGGTATAGAAGATCATATTTCCTTGTTTCTTTTTCTTCCTCTAACAAACTCAAAATGTGTCGCTGATCGAAATCCTCTAAATTACACATAGCACACTGCATTTGAACAAGAGATAGCTGAAACGAAAAGTCAAAACGAAGAGAACAAAACCGAAAAGATGTATAATTTCCTAGCAATTCATCATCCTAGTTGCAGATTCAACAACTGAGGACAGGAACAAGAAAATGCGCCCAAAAAAATCAAACAATTGCATATAAATCGATCTTGTCCAAACCTAAACAGCCATGAGCCTAAATTGACCTGAATCAAGTTAACATACAACAAATAAAGATCCACTCTCCACCAAATCAAATCCCATCAGCAAAATCAAACATAATCCCGTCATAGCTGACACAGATCATCTAAACAGAGACAACAATTTCAAAATTTTCAGCGCAGCAAGCCGCTGATCACCTCTGAATGATCTGGATAGATACTTTACGGGAACAAATCTCCTACTCAGACCCACAAGATTTGAATAATCAACAAGCCCAGATAATAAATTATGGGGGAGACACCGTACCTTACCAGCACGAAATAGAAGGTGCCAAGATTACGCAAGAAAAGAGTAGTCTTTTTTTGTAGCTATCAAAATGGCAGCTGGAATGGCGAGCAGGTAATGGCGTAGAGGAGAAAAATATGTATGATTCACAGGGACTAGGTGCAATGATACCGTTTTCTTATATAAAAAAAAAAATTGGCACACGATTATCAGCCTTTTCACGTAAATGAGAAATTTTGGGGTTATGGTTGCACATGATATGCTTCGCCATAAATGAAGAACTTATCCATAAATGAAAAGCCTTCACACGGGGATTCGGGGAAATTGGATGTATGTTGAAACTAGTGCGTGTTTCTGCTATACACTGGTAAATAATTTTTAAAAAATAATTATATATTAACTAATAACAGTGCATAGCCGTGCAACGTATGAAAATGTTTATTTTAGTCATAACGTTGACTATTAATTATTATATTATTTTATCATTTATACTAATATAAATTTGATATTACAGTATATATTTATTCATCGATATAAATAAAAAATAAAATTAATACTTATTATTGTTAACAATATAATACTCAATTATTATTTTATTATAATATTTGTTGTCATATAATGTCATATTATTATTTATAAATGTCATAAAAATAGTCTTCTTCTTCTTAGTTTATGTAATAAAATTTAGAATAAAATTTTGTGTATAAATGTTTACAAAATATACACAAATGTTTTTTAGAATTTTATTTTTTTTCATAATAATTAAAAAAAATAATTTAGCAAATTTCCAAATAAACCCATACATAATCAAGAAATTTTTTTAGTTTGCATACTAAGGCTTTATTAGTTTATTTAATATACTATGCAATATAAATATATATTTTACAATAATTCATTATGTAAACAGATAAAAATAAAAAAAAAATGATAAAATTATCATGGTTGAAAATAATATACAAATAAATCACATGTTGAAATTATAAAAAATAGTTAATATATTTTAACTTTATTCTAGTCATTAGTAAATTATTTAATGATGTGATCATTATCTCTTAAATGGTAAATTATTTTAATTTGAGAAAATTATTTGTTTCTATATAATTAAATAAAGGTTAAAAAATATTATCAAAAAATATTAATTCACCAACTTGATTCCCCCTAATTAGTTAAAGGAAAAAATTATTTAACATGTTACGATTGTTTATAAATATTTTAGGATGAAAGTCAACATTTGTGAAATAAATTAATAATATGGTTAAGACTTAAAATTTATTTTCATTTTTATGTTGACCAAAATATTATCATCATGAATCACGGAAAATCAAATTATAGTTTACTAATGGATATCAATAAAATTATTGCAGATGTTAATAAAATTATTTAAGGAAAAAATATTTTTGATCATATATGATTTAGAAATGTGTACATGAAAGCAATTAATGCATATATTTAAAAAATTTCTAAATAAGGTAGGCATTAAATGCTCCCAACTTTTTTTGCTACTACTTTTAATAAATAGTTATTCTTTTTATATAGATACTAGCACGTAGCCCGTGTGATGCACGAGACATAAGTATTAATGAGTTATTTCCACAGAACTTGTCCGTTAAGTAGCTCGTGCGATTCACGGGAGATATTAAATGAGTGGACTTGTCCGTTCAAGCCTGAAAAATAATAGAGTTTGATCATCTATCTTTTTACATCTTTTCATCAACATCATTTTTTTGTCGGAACATTAAACCTGAGTTTGGTAGCGCTAGCCCGTAAATTAATTAATATATTATCTCGCTCACATGTTTATAATAATATATAAATTTGATTTCATTATATATATTTATTCATTGATATAAGAAAAATAACAATTTTACGTAATCTTGTTCCTCGTATAATACTTATATTATTTCATTATAAAATTTATTGTAGTATAATGTCATTATTATTATAAGTTATAGATGTAATCTTCTTCTTCTTTTTGTTTTATGTAATTAAAATATTTAATGTATGTTCATATTATTAATTAATGTAATTAATTTAAATTATATAAATAAATTTAAAGTAAAACATTTTGTACAAACATTTTACAAAATATACACAAATGTTTTTTTTTAGAATTTAATTCTTTTACAATAAATAACTGCTTTGAAATTCTATGCAATTATTAAAACTGATTAAATTTGCTTTATTAAAACCGATTAAATCCTTATTTATAGGCTTGACATTAAAACCGATTTTACAAGATTATTTTAACTAAACCGATGTTATGGAATAAAACAAATCTATACTTACATTTGACTTTTCCAGCAAAGGTAAAAAAATCGGTTCTGATTTTTATCCCATAACAAATCTTTAATGTCAAGCTATACAAAACAAATCTGTAATTAATGTCATTCTATTTCCAGCAAACATTAATTACCTTTGACTTTTCTTTATACTAAATCTGGTAAATGAGATACCTTTTAATATAAGTATAGATAAATTATAAATTAAAAATAAGGATAAACAATATAAAATTATTTTATATAAAAGAACATAAAAATATATATTTAAAATATTAAAAACACCTAAAATAGTTATATAATGTATGTAGAAGTATCTAAGATGTTATATATCACCATTGCAAGATGTGAAAAATATGTTAAGTCACCTAAATTTTTCTAAATTAATTTTGAAGGAAAAATATGTCTAAAAATGTTAAATTCCACATATCTATATGTATAAGTGTATATATAAATGTATATATGAGTTTGGGTTCAAGTGAGAAGGGTCCTCAATGACGAAAAAAGAATAAATCGTAGTCATTATATCGAATGATCTAATGGCTACAAAAAAAAGTCAAAATTATACCTTCATTAAGGGTAATAGAGTAATTTCTACACACCAACAGCAGGACCCACCTGACACCTCACCCCCTAGCTCTCATTCCATCTTTCTCTCTCACACAATTACACACACGTCACGTCACCACCCCCCACACACAA